CTCATTGCTTCACACGTATTCTAAAGCCGGCGAAACGAATGAAGTCATTTCGAGAATCGTGAACACCTTCTCGCCGGAAGAAAATTCTAATGCGGTATCTGAAACCGCTGTGGCCTCGGTAAGCTTTGTTGTTTATGTATACCGGTATTAACCAGCGGCTAATTGGAGCATTGTATGCAGCCTCATCTGCGAAGCGGAAAGCCCGAAAAAACTAATTTAAGGCTATAGCCGCTACTCGTGGACGTCCGATGAAGACGCCACCTCACAAGTGCTCGGCGCGTCTTCATCGGACGTCCGCGAGCAGTGCTTTGCAGCACGCAATAACCCTCCTCGTACTGCGGATGTTCGTGATTCAAGCGCGGCTGAGCAAGGCGCCGAGTTAAGGTCCTTTATATGTCGAATCTGGCGAATTAAAATTAATTTTATTAACTTGTTTTGCTACATTAGGTGTTGTATCTAATATTAATCATAAAAAAATTAAATTAGGAAAAGCCGGACGTTCACGTTGGTTAAATAGAAGACCTTCTGTACGTGGTGTAGCAAAAAATCCTGTTGATCATCCACACGGGGGTGGTGAAGGTAAAACTAGTGGTGGACGTCCTTCTGTAACACCTCAAGGTAAGATAACTAAAGGAAAACCTACACGTAAGAAAAAAAAAAAAAATTAATTATTCAATAAAATATGTCTAGAAGTAAATATAAAGGTCCTTTTTTTAAAGTTAATTTATTAAAAAAAAAATGGATGAGGTGACCCTGCTCTACAAGGAGCTGACAGTGCGAACGACGGCGAAGGATCGTGAAATTGTGTATATTCTATACACTCTATGAAATCAACGTTATCGTGTCTGATACAGCTTCTGTGGGACCTCTAATGGAAGGCACTCACGTTACTACATTCGGTATGAATTTACATTAGCATCATGTGCTGGATATGAATCTAGCTGTTATGGTCTATCTCAAATGGGGCAGACCCGACGACGACCCCTCACCGCCGTAGCCTTGTTGAAGTATTTGAAGTGGCAACAACCTCGGGAAGCGAATATGTGATGTCCGAGAGCGACGAAAACACCGCCAGCTACCACGGGAATAGTAGCGGCGATGAGGCGAGTCACCAATCGATGGCCCAAAGAGCTGAGGAAAACGACAAAACTCCTTTAAGTACTGGTACTGCAAAATTGTATATATACACGATACTGATTCGCGTTACCGTTGTGGCTGCACTTCGCTGTACACTCGTCTGGATATATTCCACTTGGCACGTGGTGTGCGCGTGCCGTATGTGTGCTACTGCTGAAGTGAGAGGAATTGTGCGACCTGATTGGCAGATCATATGGTACAATAATCGCTCTCCATTCCGGTACTGGTATAAAATAATATCCCTAAAATATCGTTACAATCGCTTTAAGGAGGGTGTACTGACGGGGATTCTGGCGCGAATCGCTCAGCTCCAACCATTTGAAGAACAACACAGTGATCATAGGCTTCAGATCATAATTCACATTAGTTTATACCCATGGGGAGCTGGATGAAGATACAGCAGAAGCGAGGCCTCATCCAGAAGGCAGCAGATAGTCCCGACATGACGCAAGAAGAGCTGGCTGCGTGGGCAAAAGCGACGTACAGGCTGAGGCGAGCGCCTGCTCAAACTACTGTCTCTGACATCCTCAAAACCGCAGCCAAGATCATGTGCGTCACCTAAGGAGATGACAAGCGGCGGAAACCCTTACGCGTGACGTCGCCAGCGCTGGAGAAGCTCTTATTAGAGTGGATTCTGAAAGTAGAAGCTAAAGGTGTATGTCTCTCACGAGACTTAATTAGGCTAAAATCCCGTAATATTCAGAAGGACCTGTGTGATGCGTGGGATATGACTTTTTCGGACGGATGGTTGACCGCATTTGAGCGGAGGCATAGCTTGCGGAGCCGGAAACTCTCTGACAAAGCTGGCACTGCTGATCCCGTCGAAGTAGCGCTCGGCCGTCAGCGACTACAAGATTTGACCGACCTTTACGAGCCTAAAGATATCTACAACATGGATGAAACCGGACTCTGCTATGCTATGGCTCCCTCCCGCTCCATTTGCACCAGGGGCGCTTGCGGTGCCAAGAAAAGGAAGACTCGTATTACACTTGCTCTCACCGCGAACGCAGATGGGACCGATACGTTGCCGGTGCTGTTTCTGGGGCACGCAAAGAAGCCGCACTGCTTCAAGAAGCACACGGCGGAGGAGATGGGGTTCAGCTATCGCTCTAATAAAAAGGCATGGATGACGAGCGTTCTTTTCAAGGAATGCTGCTTAATCTGGATAAGGATTTGCGTGCATGTGGGCGCCATATTCTCTTACTACTAGACAACGCTTCTTCTCACAAACTGGGAGATGTCATATGCACCAACGTCCGTGTGGAGTTTTTCCCCCCAACACTACAGCGTTCCTACAGCCTATGGACGCTGGCGTCATCGCGTCATTTAAAACGGCGTACCGTAGGAAGCAATTGCAATGGGTGTACGACAAGATCAAGGACGGTGTTGAGATTGACAGGAAGGCGTATGAAGTGGACCAGCTGCAGGCAATGCAGTGGAGCAAGGAAAATTGGCAAGCTTTACACGGTAAGCGTACCATTGAAAATTGTTTTTCGCCATACGGGTATTCTTTTTAATGCCGCTGATGAAAGAAGTAAAGCGGCCGGTCACACTAGCTACGGACCCGATGTAGACGTAGAAGATGTTATTATCCTTGCCTCTCAGTTAACCTTGTAAATGTACTGTAGCTTTTTTCTTTAAGAAAATATATCAAATCCTAGGATATGGTCGGACCACGATACCGGAAGTGAGATCGATTATTGTATACTGAATTGTGATTGATCTCCAACTTCAATTGGGTCGATCAAGGGATCTGTTACGGGAGGGAAATCGTGACATGTGGCGTGTTCATTGTACACGAGTGTTCCCGTCCCAGCCAGGCGTGTCCGTCTCTGGTTAATATGCATATTTTTATACAGGCGTGTCCGCCTCTCCCAAACGTTCCCCGTCCCACTTATGTGTGTCTGACGCAGTAAACAATCTGTATACGCGGACTTAACGACGATGATAGGAGGGCACTATGGACGGCATGTAGAAGGCAGGAATAAATACTACGAATTATAACTCAATCAATCTCACTTTCAAAATTTCATTCATCGACTCACATCGCCTACAAGCCTCGTC